ATTCTTCCATGTTATGCACCTTGTTTCATGTTGTATCTTGGAGATTGTTTCACATTAGCACATAAATAACTCATGCTGTTTTTTTCCTGTTGTAGCTCTGTATACGGTCAGTATATCATGTATTAGTAATAATCAAATACTTTGTAGCATTTTGTTATTTAGCAGGATTTTTCACATATATTTCTTTATTTTTCTTCTTAGAACCTTGAAAACTATTTGTTTTAGTGTTTGGTATATGGAATTCTGAAAACCCAAGATTACTTTGTTTGGCATGATACCTTGTATGGAAGCACTTGAATACTAATGCTTTACATACTATTTGATATTGAAAACTAATGGATTTTGTACTTTAAAAAATTATGGTAAAAAATGTATAACATAAATTTATCTTCATAACAACTTTTAAGGGGACAGTACAGTATTTTTAATCATATATATATTGTTGTACAACAGATCTTTAGAACTTTTTCATCTTGCATGACTGAAACTCCATACGCATTGAACAACACCCCTTTTCCCTCTATCCCTAGCTCTTGGCAACCACCATTCTATTTTAAATGAGTTTGATTACATTAGATACATCATATTACAAGTGCAATCATGCAGTAATTGTCTTTTTGTGATTTGCTTATTTTGCTGTTTCACTTAGTATAGTGTCCTTAAGGTTCATCCCTGTTGTTGCATATGACAGGATTTCCTTCTCTTTTAAGGCTGAATGATATTCCATTGTGTGTATGTATCACATTTTCTTTATCCATTCAGCCTTTGATGGATATTTAGGTTGCTTCTACATCTTGGCTATTGTGAATAATGGCTGCAGTGAACATGGATGGGTGTGCAAATATCTTATCAATGTCCTATTTTTAGTTGTTTTGTGTATATACCCAGAAGTGGGATTGCTGTATCCATATGGTAGCTCTACTTTTAATTTTTTTTTTGAGACAGAGTCTCACTGTGTTGCCGGGCTAGAGTGCTGTGGCGTCATCCTAGCTCACAGCGACCTCAAACTCCTGGGCTCAAGCGATCCCCCTGCCTCAGCCTCCCAAGTAGCTGGGACTACAGGCATGCGCCACCATGCCCAGCTAATTTTTTCTATATATTTTTAGTTGTCTGATTAATTTCTTTCTATTTTTAGTAGAGACAGGGTCTCGCTCTTGCTTTGGCTGGTTTTGAACTCCTGAGCTCAAACAATCCACCCGCCTCAGCCTCCCAGAGAGCTAGGATTACAGGCGTGAGCCACCGTGCCCGGCCTCTACTTTTAATTTTTTGAGAACCCTCCATACTGTTTTCCACAGCAGCTGTAACATTTTACAGTCCTACCAACAGTGCACAAGGGTTCCAATTTCTCCACATTCTTACCAACAGTTGTTATGTTGTTTTCTTGACAGTGACCATCTTAACAGGTGTGAGGTATTTTGTTTTGATTTGCATTTCTCTGATCATAAGTGATGTTGAGCATCTTTTCAAATGCTTGTTGGCCATTTGTGTATTTTTTCTGAAGAAATGCCTATGTAAGTCCTTTGCCTGTTTTTAAATCAGGTTATTTGTTTTTTTGTGATTGAGTTGTGGGAATTCTTTATGTATTCTATTCTAAAACCCTTAAACTGGCGTTTTCCTACAGGCTAATTCTAAAAATTATAAAGCTCCTTGTAATTGGTCTTCATTTGCTTTTCTAGCCACATATTTAGTCACTCCCTCTCAGGAACTCTATAATTTACCACAAAATCCACAGAGAATCACTTCTTGTTCCTCAGAGCAAGGCTATATGCTTTCATGCACACGTCATTTCCCCTGTGTGGCGTATCTTCCACTTAGCGTTTTCAGGGGTGCCCATCGCCTGTACAGTCAAAAATTCATGTATTGCTTTTGAGCCCCCCAAACTATTAATAGCCTGCTATTGACTGGAAACCTTACCAATAACATTAACAGTTGATTAACACGCATTTTGTGTGTTATATATATGTATTATATACTGTATTCTTACAATAAAGTAAGCCAGGGAAAAGAAAATGTATTAAGAAAATCATAAGAGAAAATTCATTTACTATTCATTAAGTAGAAGTGGATCATCATAAATGTTTTTATCTCTGGTATCTTCATGTTGAATAGGCTGAGGGAAAGGAGGAAGAGGAGGGGTTGGTCTTGCTGTCTTGGGTGGCACGGGTATGCATGTATAAGTGAACCTGCACAGTTTAAATCCCTGTTGCTCAATGATCAACTGTACTCAATTTTTCTGAATTTCTATTTCCTGATCTATAAAATAGAGAAGATAATTAACCTTACAGGATTAATATAAAATGTAAGTGAGAAACTACATATAACATGCCTAGCTGCTAGCATATATATATTAATAGTAAGTCTTCAATGAACAGTGATAAGGCAAAAAAAAAAAAAAAGCAAGCAAGCAAAGTGGCAGCAATTGCTGCTGCTGTTTTCCTCCATAGAATCATTTGTGTTTGATGGGGGCATGGGAAATGGTGTCAGAAGGAGACAAAATACTGAAGGCAGAACACAAAGGATATCTTCTTACTCTTGGAGACTGGTTTGTCAACTGCAAGTTCTAGTTAGAGATCAGGTGAAACGTCTCCCTACAGCCAGCTAGTGACTTCTTCCTTATAGTACACACAACCCTTTGTTCTTATATTCCCCAAAAGAAATGTTTTGCTTATATTGTCCATCTGTCCACTCCTACCTCCTTCAGTACATCTTCCATATTGTTCCAGAATATGTTGGGTTTTTTTTGGAGACATGGTCTTGCTTTATTGACCGGACATGAGGGCAGTGGCATGATCATAGCTCACTGCAACCTCAAACTCCTGGGCTCAAGTGATCCTCCTGCCTCAGCTTCCTGAGTAGCAGGGACTACAGGCATGTGCACCGCCACACTCAGCTCATTTTTCTATTTTTTGTAGAGACGGGGTCTCGCTATGTTGCTCAGGCTAGTTTTGAACTCCTGACCTCGAGCTATCCCCTCACCTTGGCTCCCAAAGTGCTACGATTATAGGATTACAGTCCGGCCCAGAATATGGCTTTTAAAATGAAGACCGTGTCTGTTGCTCTCTTCAACTCTTTCAGTACAGATAAAATCCTAACTCCTTAACGTGAATGATGAGGCTCTTCGTGATCTGGTCTTCATTTACCTCTCTACCCTCATCTTTCACTGTTCTCACACAGTGGACATTTGCTATTTTTTTTTTTCTGTGTTTAGGAAATTCTATAGGGTGTTGGTGGGGAACGGGACCTGTCTCACACCTCAGAAACTGAAAAGTTCAGATACTCATTTTCCCTGCTTCTTGGCAACTGGAGCACAGGAATGTGACCAAGGCCCAGCCAATTGGACTTTCTATCTGCAGTGAGTGACACAGAGAATCAAGGACAGGGGTGGTGATAGCAGTGGTAATAGTAGTGGTGCCCTTGTGTTATCCTGGCAGTGGTGTCTACCCCAGACTATTCCTTTGAGTGGTTTTGGCTGCATTTCTGGCTGCCTATCCTACCTTGATACTAGCCTAGTTTCAGGGCTTAGATTTTCCAGCCCTTGTATTGGATCTGTGAGGTTACCTGTTGTTTTTCCAATAAATTCTTTTTCTGTTTAAAGGAACCCAAGGGGGTTTTTGTTACTTGCTTTTATGATGAGCCTTGACTCATACTACCTTTTCAACACCAAGTGCCCCATTCACATTTAACTTCCTACTCTTCTTCCAAACTGACCATGGTTGTCTCTGCTTCTGGGCTTCCTCACATTCTGTTCTACCTGGAACACCCTTTATCCAATTCTTGATCTGTTTGACTCTTGATCATCCTTTAGGACAGTGGTCCCCAACCTTTTTGGCACCAGGGACTGGTTTCACGGAAAACAATTTTTCCACAGACTGGGAGGTGGGAGTGGGGAGAGGCGGAGCTCAGGCGGTGATGTGAACAATGGGGAGTGGCTGTAAATACAGATGAAGATTTGCTCGCTCGCCTGCCGCTGCTCACCTTCTGCTGTGCAGATCCCTGGTTCCTAAGTCTCATGGAAGATAATTTTTCCACGGATGGGGGCGGTAGAGCTCTGTGGCCTGGTCCCTAACAGGCTACCGACTGGTACTGGTCCACGGCCCAGGGGTTGGGGACCACAGCTTTAGAGCTCAGCTCTATCATAGTGTCACTTTTTCTGCAAATCTTTCCCCAGATCTCAAGATTGGGTTGGCTCCTCAGTGTTCCCACAGAATCCTTTGTTTATCTCCATTATAATACTTGTCACACTCTATTGTAATTGTCTTTACTTTCTTTGGGGACATAGGCTAGTGTTGTGTTGAGTATCTTTGCACTGTTCCTGGCAAATAATAGTTACTATCTATATTTTATTTGTTGAATGAGTAAAAAACTCTATTTATAATTATACACTGTTATATTAAAATTTATCTACTTATATATCTGTTTTCTCCAATAAACTGTAAACATTCTAAGAACACAGACCAAGTTTTTCTTCTTTATATCCTTAATTTATAGGACAGCAGTACCTGGCTCATAATAGATGCTAAGGCAATGTTGAATGCATGAACTAATGAGTGACTGGCAGGGCTGTCTCTCAGTTAAGTTCTCTCAGTTCGGTTAAACAGTTTTTCCCAAAAGAAGCTATCTTCTTTGACCATAGGTAAAGATGAGCTATTTGCATGTGACACATACTGAGTAATTGACATTCTCAGCTCCTTCTGTGTACAAGGATTAATATTTGAGAAGATAATGTATATATATGAAAAAATATGTTTGACAGGTTAGTATATTTTATGTGCCAAGTGAGTTATGTGGACAGGTGTTGTTTCAGTGTCAGACTAAATGTAACATTCTTAATTGAGCCATTGAAAATATAGTACTTAGAACAAATATATAGAATATGGCTGTTGGTTAATTGGATTGATTAAAATGGAAGCCTGAAGGAGGCTTCGTTTTTCTATTTTACTTGCCTTATATACTGCTGATTTTGGACTGATTCATTGGAATGTTTCCTCATTCCTTTTTAGGTCCAAGACAACTTTGACAAGATTGAATTCAATAGGATGTGTTGGACCCTCTGTGTCAAAAAAAACCTCACAAAGAACCCCCTGCTCATTACAGAAGAAGATGCATTTAAAATATGGGTTATTTTCAACTTTTTATCTGAGGACAAGTATCCATTAATTATTGTGCCAGAAGAGGTAAGGTGTGGCTTTGGAGTTTTTTTTTTACATGGCCATGTTAGCATTTAATAGACCTGGCTTAGAAGTATTTGTGTTATTTCAGTGTAAATATGAAAGATTCTGACTAGTGTTTTTGAGTCACAGCCAAAACAGCTTGAATCCAGAAAAGCCCCAAACTTAGTTATTTGGGCATGTAATGACTCTGGAGATTTGCAGAGAGGGTGGGGCTCTTCTTCTCTAAATTGCTGTGATTATAAATGAATCCATCCTTATGTCCAAAGAGTCTTTATTTAGTACAAGCCGCAACATAATTTTGAGACTACTTGCATACTGGAAAAACCTTAAGAACTATCTGAGTGATGTTATATGGGAAACATATAGGATCCAGAATGTTGTTCTCAAGGCTGTTTTATGTGAGTAAATAATATTCTTGTTTTAAAGTTTAGGATGATGACTTTCTGTACTTTGTAAAGTAAAAGAAAAAAAAATCTGCTTATTTTGTTCTGGGCTATTTTCCCTAAACTTCCAAAGGTAAAAGTAATAGGAATAAGGTTTCTGTGCTATCTTACTGCCCTAAAAATTTATATATATAACACATGCTTATTATAGCAAGAAATTTAGAATAGACTAATAGTATGTAAAGTTAAAACCAGCTATAATCCCTCCACTTAAAAAAAGTCATCTGGGCCGGGCGTGGTGGCTCACGCCTGTAATCCTAGCACTCTGGGAGGCCCAGGCGGGCGGATTGTTTGAGCTCAGGAGTTCAAAACCAGCCTGAGCAAGAGCGAGACCCCGTCTCTACTAAAAATAGAAACAAATTAATCGGACAACTAAAAATATATAGAAAAAATTAGCCGGGCATGGTGGCATATGCCTGTAGTCCCAGCTACCTGGGAGGCTGAGGCAGAAGGATTGCTTGAGCCCAGGAGTTTGAGGTTGCTGTGAGCTAGGCTGACGCCACGGCACTCTACCCCGGGCAACACAGTGAGACTGTCTCAAAAAAAAAAAAAGTCATCTGTAATCTCTTAACTTTGGACAAATTATTTAACCTTTCAAGTCTGAATTTTCTCATCTATGAAATAAGGCTAATTATAATGTTTGCTCTAAGAGTTGTGAGGTTCTGCATTTAATGGATTTAGTTAAGTGCCCAGCCTATAATATGTACTCAGTAAGATGTTAACTCCTATGGCTACTATTACATACCTTGTACACTAGTGTGCTTATTTTCTTAGAAAAAATTTCCCGCGGTGGAATTCTGAGTCCTAAGAAATGCACACTTTCAAAGTATTAGATGAACAAGGCAAAATTGCCTTTCAGAAAGGTTGTACCAATTTATACATTAACAACAGAGGTTGAGGATGCCTATATTTACCATCCTGCCAATATGTGATAGTGACTGTGTGACTGTGATTTCTATGATTCATGTTCATGTTAGGGACATAATTGAAATCTGTTTAAAAGTTTACAGTGCAATATGTTATTGAACATCAGCAAGACTTTATTGACTGCCAACAATAAGTGAGACACCAAGGAGAATACATATAAAATGAAAAAGATTACTTCCTGCCTTCAGGGAATTTACAGTCTGCTGAGGAGAAAAATAAATGTTGTGCAAAGCAAAACAGACTACTTGTTATAAGAGAGTTGCAAATGCCATGCAAATACAGAGAAGGGAAAAATTTATTCCAGCAAGGGGAAGTAAGAAATCAGGGAGGGCTTTTTAAGAGAGGCAATATAATGTAGTAATTAAAAGCAAGGTCTTAAACTTTTTAAATCAAGGACTAGAGAGTAAATATTTGAGGTTTGTGGGCTTTCGGGGCTATACTGCCTCTGTCAAAACTACTCAGCTCTGCTTTTGTAGCATGAAAGTAGCCACAGACAGTATGCAGCTGTGTTTCAATAAAACTTTTATTTATGGATGTTGAAATTTGAATTTCGTATAATTTTCATGGGCCATGGAATATTATTATTTTGATTTTCCCCAACCATTTAAAAATGTAAAAACTATTCTTAGATCATGAATGTTATAAAAACACATGGTGAGCCAGATTTGGCTGGGGGGCTAGATTTGGCTTGTGGGCTGTAATTTGCTGATCCCTGGTTAAGAGAAGGGCTCTGTCCTGTACCATGTCCAGAAAAAAAAAGGGCGGCTCTGGAGTCAGATTTCCTGGATTTGGATTCTGGCTGCATCACTGTTCATTAGCTGTATGACCATGGCAATTTACTTACATTGTTTTTGCTAAAGTTTCCTCAACTGTAAACTAGGGCTAATACTAATATTTACCTCCTAGTGTTCTTGTGAAGATTAAATGAGAAGAGTGCTTGGCCCTTAAAAAGTGCTCATTAAGTGTTAGCTATTATATTTATGGGGAAAGTAGAACTTGTATTGGGCATTAAAAGATGGGAAGGAATTTGCCTAATGGAGAAGGGAGAGGAGAATTCTGGGTGGAAGAAACAGTGGGAAATGTTATATGAGGCAGGAAAGCAAAGGGCATGTTCTGAGGTGAAAGGTATCTGAATTGCCAGTCAGGATGCTTACTTGGAAACAGCCAAACTGGCTGATTTAAGCCAAAAGGGAGTTTATTAAAAGGATGCTGGGTAGCGCACAGAATTACCATGATGGCTGAAAAACAAGGTATGGAAGCCATGCAGCCTGGTCTATAATGGTCACTGTACTGGTCACTTCAGTGAGGAAGCTACAAGGAAAATGTTGCTGCCACCAGAGGCTTTGTGGTGCACTTGAACCATGGAACACCTCTGGCCCTGGACATGGGGTGCTGCTCAGGAACTCAAATCTTCCTGCAACTGCTCTCGCTACCAGGGAGAGTTCTCGATGGCGCCCACTTCCCAATTCAGTCAGAGTATGATGTATCTAATTGGCCTGGCCTAGGTCAGGCACCATGCACTAGCTGCAAAGGAGGCTTGGAAAGGATACGTTTGCATTTTCAGCTTCTGCACTGGGGATAGGAATTTCTCCAGTCATTAAAAGGGAATTAGATGCTGGGCAGTCAAAAGAGAATGACTGTTAGAATGTTCCTTTCTAACTGGAACGTGACAGTTGTGAAGAAGAGACGTGGGAGATGAGGCTGGGGTGTTTTGACTTTATCCTGTAGGCAGTGGGGTGCTGCGAGCCACTGATGATTTTTGAGCAAGTGAATGATAGGTGAATAGATGACATATGGAGAGATAGGAGATGGGAAGCTGAGAGAAGCTAAGTGGCATTGAGGACTAAAGTACAGTAGTGTCAGTGAGAACAGAAAAGAAAACCAAATGGGAGGGACCTGGAGGTTATAGGACCAAGAGCATAGTGCCCGGCTTGGCAGGTTTCAGGCCTGGGCAACTGGGAGAGAGGGAACATAGTGTATTTGCTTAAAGCATGGTCATTGAAATCAGACTTACTGGTTTGAAACCCAACTCTACTGCTTTAATATTAGCATGTGACAAATTACTCACATCTCTCTGTTTAGGGTTCCCTATCTGTAAAATGGGGATAGCTACTGTGGATTGAAAAAGTTGATGTATGTGGAGCACTGTGGAAAGTGCTCACTAAAAGGGGTGTGTGTGTGAATGAGTGACAGGTTGGAGAACAAACTGGGGGTGTGATGCATGATGATGAGTTTGGCACATTTGCCTTTTAAGTGGAACATCATTGTGTAGCTGTCCTATATTTAACTGGAGGTGCACATCTAGGGCTTGTGAGTGGCCAGGGTTGGAGACAGAGATGGCGAAACCACAGGAGTAGGTTGGATCAGGGAAGACGACTGACGTGAAAGACACAAGAGCTGAGGACAGACCCTTGGGACCATTTCTGTAGCAGCAGGAGGAAATGAATTTAGTAAAGAAAGCTGAATTAAACAGGCTGTGTGAGGTAGGAGGAGAACTGGGAGATTGCTGAGTCATGGGTGCCAAAGAAACAAAAAGTTCTAAGACACAGAAAATAAATTACTGGAATTAGATGCTACAGAAAAATTAGACAGTGGTGAGTGAGAAGTTGCCCTTGGATTTAACAACTAAGTGGTCATTGGTAATCAAGGAGAAGGTAGTTTTTCTTGTAGTGGTGGAAATAGTTTCTTAGTGCTTAATAGCAGTAATGATGTAATTGTGTATATATGTTAAAGGGGATATAGAAAATGAAGCATACTGTGGAATTTTTGTGCAAGGAAATTATCTAGCTTAATACAAAGACATAAAGAAGGAGGTGGAATATTGATAGATTTAGAAAAAGATATATCAATGCTATTTTTAAACCTAGCTGTTGCTTAGAAGAATTATGCAAATAAAATCTCCAGTATTGTCTTTAAAGACATTTTGTAGTTACACTCAGTGATCGAAATTTATTTGCATTTTCTTTGGAACTGGAAGTGGGGTGGGTCTCTTAACCTTGATATTTTGTTTTTTTTTATCACTAAAATATTCTTGGTAGAGTTGAAAGTGACCTTGTCCTGATTTCAGAATTAGAAATGAGTAAGCAGACTTACTCTATTCCCTGAAGCAGCACTTGCTTAATGTGGAGGACTTGCCATTGGCTCTAAGTCATCACTGTGCCACAGGCTGTGGAGGGAGCCAGTCAGCATCAGCCTCCTGATTTCTCTGCCTACCACACTCAAAAGGTTTCCGCTCCAGGTGGCCTGAAGAACGAGGACCCACTTGGGCCTCAGTGTGTGTTTCTGCAGGCCAGAGCCCTCCTAAAACTCCTTAGCATGTTTACCTTCATGACAGGAATGTCTTGGTTTTCTTTCAAAACTAGTTAATCTCGTTTGAGAAGGGAATGGCCTCTCTTTGATTTGTTAGCATAGCCAGGCGGCATACCTTGTCATGTTATTGTTTGATTTTCTCTGTGCTTTGATGGCCTTAACTCCCTCAGCATTTCTTCTAGTTAGCTTTTTATAGATTATTCCTCTGTGGCCAGGAGTGCTTGTGTGGGGAAAAAAGGGATTATTGGAACAGATTTATGTGGAATTGCTTTGCCTGGTTGCTGAACCTTGCCTCTTGAGGTTTAACACATGGACTTGTATTTATTGAGCTCTTAGCATACCTGGCCTTTGACCAAGCACTAAAAACTCAAAGTCACACTATATTATGGAAAATACATTTTCTGTTAGATTTTACATCCTTTCTAAATAATTTAAAGTGTTTGAACTAGCCTTAGACTTACAGATTTTAATAAAATTTAATATAAAACCAGATATAAACAATAAATTTTGAAATATAATGTCTTAATTTGTCATGAGTACATACCTGGGTTTAATTTGTATCTTATCAACAGTTTTTAGGCCTTGTAAATTTAAAGTAATTTTTGTTTGCAGTGATTCACCTACCATAACAATCATTTGCATTGTTTAAGTCCCGAGTGTTTTTTAAGAAAGATTTTTTTTCTTCAGCCTGAATAGTACTATTATGGCAGTTTTATGAGTAACTTAAGTGGTATAGATAATAAGTTTGCCTTTGATTCAGTTTTCTATCATCCAGAAACTAATATGAAGAATGCTAAGTAAATATTAAAGTGGCTTACATGGTTAGGTTAAGATATTTCTACCACACAGATATTAAGAAATAGTGTGTTCCCATTTGTCAGATTATATTCCTCCAAATGTGTGTCTGTAAAGTATAGTTTTTATTTAGTATTCATTTCGCACAGAACCAAGAACAAAACAGGATGTGCCTGTTGTGGACTTATTTGGAACAATTGCCTTGATGCAATTAAAAATTAAGCCTGAAGTAGCTTTAAGAGACCCTAAGTGAAATAAAACCTGAATTGCTGTTGAGCTAATAAATGCTCCTTTTAATGACAGGGGAAGAACTTTTTAACAAAATAAATTTTGGAGCTGAAGGTTCAAAAATCACGTGCTGCTTGAAAGTTTATTCTTTGTTATTTTTGGTGAAACTTGCTTGAAAGGAGGAAGTAAGCTGCTTCCTGAAACTGAATGAGCTCTTAGAATGGATGCAGGCCACTAGAGACTAACACCAGCACGTGATTTATTATTTAGTATAATTGAATAGTGGAGAGTGGGAATGTTTGTCTCTCCTTGGCCCAACATAATGATGCAGAAGGTCCTTAAGTTATTTGGTTATGATAAGTATATGAATGTGTTGAAAGTCAACAGGAAATGAATCTAGATTAGTTGTCTGGCACAGTCACTGGGAATGCTGAGCAAATAGATGCTGGGTGCTGATGACAGCTTCACAAGGGTTTGGGAAGGCAGCTTCAGAAAGGTTTATGATGAATCTGGGAACCTGCCTCTAGAGCTGATTTTGCTACTAACAGGCTTCTTCTGAGTTACTAACATTGGGAAAGGTCTTCTGATTTTGAAGAGGACACTGAAACTTGGAGTTTGAGGGGCTCAGGTTCATGAAGAAGTAGGTGAGGAAGAGCTAAGGCTGATTCCTAACTTATAAGTGATCATTTGGCTGCACCATTTTGTCCCGACCACTTGTTGTCATCCTGTACGTACATAGCTGTACATATGTGCTTCCTTTGGCCTTACTACTGAACTTGTAGTAGTGCCTGTACTCCTTTTATCCCAAATTGTAATCAGGCAGCCTGGGCCCTTCTTTTTGCTGCCTTAGGGAGATTGAACTTCTGTACTTGTTAATGCCGTGAAGTTATTTTACTTTGAGCAACTATTTATCTTAATGTCCTTTTTTTAACTCTTTCTTGTATCTTATTGTATCTCTTCAGTCTCTTCTTGACTTTAGTCTTTTTTTTTTTTTTAAATTAAAAACTTTTTTCAGAGATAGGGTCTAGCTCTCTCATCTAGGCTAGTGTGCAGTGGTGTGATCATAGCTCACTATAACTGCAAACTCCTGGGCTCAAGCAATCCTCCCGTCTTAGCCTCCTGAGTCGCTGGGACTACAGGTGTCCTCCACTGCCCCCGGTCGACTTTATCTTTTCATCCCCTTTTCTTTTCTGTCCCTATTTTGCCTTCCCTTTTCCTTTTTTCTCTCTTTTTGTTAACTGTTCCTTTCTCTCTTCCACTCTATTCCTGTTACTTCAATTTAACAGCCAAGAAAATATCGAATAATATCTGATAAGTTTAGCAATGATAAATGATACATCTCCAACAAAAGAAAGACCTAAGTGTGTTTTTCTCTAATAAGGAAACATTTGTTGAATCCCTACCATGTGCTATTTTTAGGGTGTAAGATAATATTTGTCCTAGAGGAGCTTATAATATCTCATTGAATTAAATCAATAGAATGGTTGATATTTTTTGAACTTGTGATATTTTGTGAAAGTACATTCTTTGGCAGACATGTATTTTCATTCTTTTTCTATTCAAGTATGTTATTTTGCAAATAACATTATAACCAAATAAATGTAAATTCAAAGAAGAAAAAGGAAAAAATTAACTCAGTTATATTCGTAACAAATAGTTTACTGTTTCTGACAAATATTTATCAAAATATTTATCTAATCTTTATGCAGTGGAAATCATAGGTAAATTTAATTTTGTATTCTTTATGTTATTTCAGAAATGCTTTCTTAAATGTAATTTTGGATGGTCGAATAATATTCTATTCAGTGCAGAAGAGAAGCAACATTGTTTGGAGTACCTACCATGTGCCAGGCATCATGCAAATTGCTCTATATTTGTCTCAATTTTACTCCCATAGTAGTTCTATATGACAAGTATTGTTATGACCACTTCATAGATGAAAAAATTGAAGCTTATCTTAGTTCCTTTCAGTTTAGCAAATTGAGGTATCACGTTGAGCTTAGGGGATTCAAAGATGTGTGGGACATGGTCCCTCCTACCAGGAATTTGGAAAATGGTGGAGAAGCAAATAAGTAAAAATGTAATTTCAATACAGTATGCTAAGTGCAGTGACATAGAAAAGAAACCTGACCTGGATTAGGGTTGGTCAGAGCAGGTTAGCTAGAACGGTGCTTATCAAACTTTAGTGTGCATATGGAAATACCAGGGGTTCTGGTCAAAATGCAGATTGTGATTTTTGGGTCTTTGGTGGGGTCTGAGAGTCTTCATTTGCAACAAGCTTCCAGGTGATGCCATCGCTGCTGGTACACATACTTCTTCTTGAGTAGGAATATTTTAGAGGGTGTAGGACTTGAAAAAATACCATTTAGATGGGTAGAGAATTGGGAAAAGGTATTCTAGACAGAGAGGACACAGAGGGGAAAGACATGGAAGCATAAAAAAAAAAGCATGTTAAGTGGGTAGAGTACTTACAATCTATGGAAAGTGTTGGCCAACTACAGTTTGGTGGCTAAATCAGGTCCACAGCCTATATTTGTACAGCCTATGTGCTAAGAATAGTTTTTACATTTCTAAAGGGTTGTTCTAAAAAAAAAAAGAAAACCAAAGAAGAACATGTGATAGAGAGACACAAAACCTAAATATTTACTATTCATCCCTTTACAGTAAAAGTTTGTGACCCCTGATCTATGGTGTTGGTGGTCTTGGTGGAGTGTAAAATCTGAGGTGGGGCATAATGGAAGACATGTTTGAGAAAATAGACTGGGGCGCATCACCAAGGGATGCAGAGGAGCTTGGCCTCTATCTTCGAGGTGATAGGGAGCCAGAGAAGGGTTTAAAGAGGGGAGTGTCAGGCTCAGGTTTTTGTTTTAGGAAAATCTCTCTGGAAGAATAGACATAAAAGGGGCACTGGAGGCAGGATACCAACTTGGAGGCCTGACCAAGGGCAGATGGAATAGGAGATACAGATTTGAGAACTATTTAGGACAAAGTTTTTCATTCTCTTTTAACTGCAACCCATAAGAGGATAGAATGTTTTATATCATGACCGAGCACACACAGACATGTGCACACACAAAACAAAACTTATCACAAAACAACATGGGTTGTTATTGTGGCTGAACTCAAATATTTTTCATTCCATTAAAAAAAATGCTAGTTACAACCCACTAAGTTGACATCTAGTGGGCCATAACCCACAGTTTGAAAAACACTCATCTAGGGAAGGAAAAAAACAGCAGGATTTTGTTACTGATTTGATGTGAGGGAGTGGGAAACAGGAATCCTGGCATGTGTGAATGTACAAATGATGTTATTCCTAACTGTAAGCAATAATAGAGGGGGAAGCCATTTGGAAGGTAGAGATGATTCATTCATTTTTGGACATGTTGAGTTTGAGAGCACTGTAGGACACCTTCCAGATGATGAGATATCAGTTTCTCATTCAATATTACTGCCTTGGTATTTTGTTTAACTGCTATTATTTGAATAGCAGTATTTTCTACTATCTTCTACACAAAGGTTTCAGAATTTAGTAAGCTTTTCCAGCTCAGGCTGGGAATTCAACCATTATTTACAACATTGTCAGTGTTCTAATGGGAGGAAGCAGCATGAATTTCAAATAATTGGCTTACGTGGAAGATTTGTAAATTGGGCAATAACTTGTATATACTACTTTGAAATGTTTGCTTAATTTAGTGCTTACATGTTCAGTAAGATTAATGTTCTGATATGTTGAAATATTTATCCAACAGAGAGTAATAAAATCACATTCATTAGTTTGTATATGCTTGTGTATGTGCAGTTTGCTTTAGTTCCATATACAAATATACTGTACTATTAGAGGGTTATCAGTTTTTGATTCTTTTATTTATTCTAGGCTAATATAGAACTAGTGGCATTTTATCTATACCCCCCTCCCTGATAGTAGTAGATTCTTTAAAGACATGCGTTTTTGGAACTGTAAAGAGTGTTTCCTAAATTGACCATATCAGTGTAAATAACATAAACACATACTTATGTTAAAAAGGTTTTTTTAAACTAGGAAATAATTTTTTATTCTTTATATAGATTGAATACCTGCTGAAGAAACTTACAGAAGCTATGGGAGGAGGTTGGCAGCAAGAACAATTTGAACATTATAAAGTCAACTTTGATGACAACAAAGATGGCCTTTCTGTGTGGGAACTCATTGAGCTCATTGGAAACGGACAGTTTAGCAAAGGCATGGACCGGCAGACAGTGTCTATGGCGGTTAACGAAGTCTTCAATGAGCTTATATTAGATGTGTTGAAACAGGTAAGACTCCTGTGACGCTTTTTTTTTCCTCGTCTTTAGAATTTGACATTTTGAAATTAATATTTTCATCACAAAGATGAGTATAAGTCATCTTAGTTTCTTACACTAACTTAGAACTTACACTTTATCTATTATATTGATTTAGAACAGGAATAAAGTTTCTAATTTTCCCAGTCTTGTTTTAGGCTTTCACTTTAAAGAATTACGGTACAATTTTAAAGTATGGTTAAGAATTGGAAAGATACTATTTTGAGAGAACTTTTTTTGTAATTGTTGGAGACTGGGTCTTGCTCTGTTGCCTAGACTAGAGTGCAGTGGCATCATCATAGCTCAGTGCAACCTCAACCTTCTAGGCTTAAGCAATCCTCCCACCTCAGCCTCCTGAGTAGCTGGGACCACCATGTCCAGCTAATTTTTTAAAAATTTTTTGTAGAGATGGGGTCTCTTTATGTTGCTCAGACTGGTCTTGCACTCCTGGCCTCAAGTGATGCTCCTGCCTTGGCCTCCCAAAGTGCTAGGATTACAGGCATGAGAGCCACCACACCCAGCCTGAGAGAACTATTTAAATAATGACATTTCCAAACTATTTTTTTTTTTTTTTTCTCTGTTGCCCGGGCTAGAGTGCCGTGGCATCAGGCTAGCTCACAGCAACCTCAAACTCCTGGGCTCAAGCAATCCTTCTGCCTCAGCCTCCCGAGTAGCTGGGACTGCAGGTACCCGCCACCATGCCCAGCTAATATTTTCTATATATTTTTTGTTATCCAGCTAATTTCTTTCTGTTTTTAGTAGAGACGGGGTCTCACTCTTGATCAGGCTGGTCTTGAACTCCTGACCTTGAGCGATCCTCCCAGCTTGGCCTCCCAGATTGCTAGGGTTACAGGCGTGAGCCACCACGCCTAGCCTCCAAACTGTTTTTAAAACACCTTCCTGTCATGTCTACATCTATACCCACCGGTCTGGAAATATCTCCATGACAAATTGTTCAGTAAAAAAAAACACGTTGCTGAATAGGCAATATCTTTGTAATCCCTTTCATGTAATGTGGTGCATGTATGTAGAGCTGTCTGGAAGGATGCGTGCCAGAATGCTCACAGTGATCACCTCTGGATTGTGGGATTTTGGTGAATTTTATTTTTTTCTTTATTTTTTCTGTATTATTGGACTTTCTACATGATTTTGTATTATTTTTATAAAATCAGAAAAATTACCCTACTTCTGAGAAAAAATACCTTTATAAAGCAAAGTTGCATTTGTCTTATTTAGACTATTATCTTTGTTTTCTTAGCATTCAGCATAGCATATAATATACATATGAGAAGCTTAATGCTTGATAAATAGGACTTAGAATTTTTTGATGGATCTTTGAAACTTCTTAACATTATATCGAATAATAACTCTGATTTGGGATTTCCTTACTTTCTCCTTTTTTTTTGTTCAGTAGGTGACATTGTCTGCTTTTTTTTCCTAATGGAGCCCATCAATAAACATTAATTGAGTCTTAAATTGTATAGGTTTTTGGTGCTACAAAGAGGTAGGAAACATGGTCTCTGAAGAGGGCTTCAAGGCTTGTTAGGATGGCAGGATATAAGACTACAGTTGAATTGCAGTGTGAAATACTTTTGGTTTAAATGTCCAAGGATTAGGAAATTGAATAAATATTAATAATATGATTAGAACTTAGTAAAATAATTTAAACTTATAGTCAAGTTAATATTATATGTATTTAATGATATATATAACCTGCTATAGGTTATCAGCACTTACAGATTTAATATTAAAAATATCAGCTATTCTCAAACAACCCTGAAGGGCTTTGCCCTATAATAATGTGTAATTTTGCTGAAGTAAAAAATTTGAATTACACACCCCCGAAACTGATATGTGGGAAGGAAATACAGGCCTAGTGAATGCGAGCTTAGAAGCCAGTATCCTAACTCCTGGTCTAGTACTTTTCTGCTTGTCTGGAGCAGAGTTCATCCTTCAGAATAGTGAGAGGTCAGATAGAAAGGTAGGTTGGCACCAGAAGTAGAAATCCTTGAATATTTGGTTGAGAAGATATACTTGGGCAAGTTGACACCTTTTATCATTTTCATTTATTGAGGTTTTAATTTACTGAGAATTACTGTTAGGGGTCCTTTCTTTTTCTAAAAATACAGAATAGACAATAGTATAATCAATTTCCATATACCTGTCACCCAGCCCTAATAACCACCAACACATGGTTAATTCTACCCCACCTACTTTTGCCTCTCCTGTATTTTGAAGCAGATTCCAGGTATTCATTTTATCTATAGGTAGGTATCTCTAAAAGATAAATAAATTTTTTAAAAAAAACCAACATCAGGGGTTTCTAAGTCTGTTGCCTGTGTATCACTTTGGGGAGGGATTGTCTCTGAAGTATGTGAAATTTTATACAACCTTTGTCTGCATGTGAGTGCATGAATTTGGGTATAGTACCCTTGGCCTTCAGAAATTCTTGGTAGTCCATGACCCACCAAGGGCAAGAACCATTGATAATGTATTTAGGGTCGTATATCAAATAATGGAGTAGGCAAGGATACCAAGGAAGAGATATAAGCTCTTACAGATAAAAGGACAAACATTTATATCAGGTTTAATCTTCCATAGGGGTACATGATGAAAAAAGGCCATAGACGGAAAAACTGGACTGAACGCTGGTTTGTACTAAAACCCAACATAATTTCTTATTATGTGAGTGAGGATCTGAAAGATAAGAAAGGAGACATTCTCTTGGATGCAAATTGCTGTGTAGAGGTAAGGAAGGCTGCTGTTACTTCTTCACAAGATTACCCGGTGCTGCCCCCTGCTGCTTAAGTAGTTTCTCATCCTCTTCCTTCTAGAGCCTTAAAATAATCCCCAAATTTACATTTCTAACATATTGTAGGTATATGGTTGCTTTAATTTCTGAATCAAAAATTAAAGATAGCTGAAAAAATTTTTTCTAATGTGAATTTATTTTTAATCTTACACTCATGAACAAAGTATAAGGATTGAATCTAATTTGTTTGAACACTTAAGGAGTCATTTATTGAATAAAATAGAGTCGTAAAAAAGATAAGTAAAAAAAGTATTCAGTAACACAATATTTGAAATTCTGAATATGCCAGGAAATATGGGACATTTTGAGTACAATAAATAAAAGAAGATGTAAGCATTACCTTTGAATACTTTGTGTGACTTTTAGGACACTTTATTCATAGGTACTAATTATGTAAAGAAGTGAAGTTTTCACTTCTTTCACATACATTTTTAAGTTTTTAATCTTTATATGAACTGTTCCCATGTCTGTATTTGTTGAAGAACATTTAAATACCTAAGTTCTCATTCGTAAACTGTAGCGTATTTTGATGAATGAAATGGTATAGATATATTAATGCCTTGGGATATGCAATACTCACAAAGGGATCACCTTAGATTTAACTAAACATGGAGACCCGCAAGGTTACCACAGACCATACTAGTCTGCTCATAATGATAAGGGACAGGAGCCACAGGTTGCCAGCCACAGCATCCTAGGTATAAGGAGAGGAAGCCACAATCGGCGGATGTAGGAATCACCCTCACTTAGAAGCCTCATATCCATAGGAGTCAATACCTCTTGTAACAACTCTGCAGGTGTACCTTCCAGGGTTCCTGCAAGGGATGTGCTAAGGTACAAGAGTGGTTATGCTCAGGAAAGCCCAAACTATGGCATTCCCAACAGGTGTTTATAGTTCTTCTAGTCCAGATGTAGTGTACCAATTAGGGTTCATTGTTATCGTAAGTAATATTGCCTAGGGAACAACATTAGTAAATCGGTAATATGCATTTATAGGTATTTTTCATTGACATTGAGTTTCAATGAGGCAGATCTATATAAACAATTAAGATTAAATTGAATTTAAATACTTTAAAATTTTAAAGAACTAATTTTGCTTTCTGTTTTAGTCCTTGCCTGACAAAGATGTAAAGAAATGCCTTTTTCTTATAAAATGTTTCGATAAAACCTTTGAAATCAGTGCTTCAGATAAGAAGAAGAAACAAGAGTGGATTCAGGGTAAGGTAATTTTTATTATTTGCCATGATATACTTGACAGCTCAGACTTTCTATTTTTGAATCTCGTGAAAGATGCTAAGGCATTGTTTCTTTATTGTCTATAGTTATTTCTTTTCTTTTTCTTTCTTTTTTTTTTGAGACAGAGTCTCACTTTTTTGCCCTGGCTAGAGTGCCATGGCAGCAGCCGAGCTCACAGCACCTCAAACTCCTGGGCTCAAGCAATCCTACTGCCTCAGCCTCCCAAGTAGCTGGGACTACAGGCATGTGCCACCATGCCCTGCTAATTTTTTCTATATATTTTTAGCTGTCCAATTAATTTCTTTCTATTTTTTTTAGTAGAGACGGGGTCTCGCTCTTGCTCAGGCTGGTTTCGAACTCCTGAGCTCAAACAATCCGCCCGCCTCGGCCTCCCAGACTGCTAGGATTACAGGCGTGAGCTACCGCGCCCGGCCTATAGTTATTTCTACATGAAAGAAAAACAAATTGAGGCCAGACGCAGTGGCTCACACCTGTAATCCTCGCACTTTGGGAGGCTGAGGTGGGAGGATTGCTTGAAGTCAGGAGTTGGAGACCAGCCTGAACAAGAGCAAGACCCCCGTCTCTACGAAAAATAGAAAAATTAGCTGGGCGTGGTGTTGTGCACCTGTAGTCCCAGCTACTCGAGAAGCTGAGACAGGAGGATTGCTTGAGCCCAGGAGTGTAAGGTTGCAGTCAGTTATCATGATGCCACTCACTCTTGCTCAGGCAACAGGGTGAGACCTTGTCTCAAAAAACCAAAACCAAAACAAAACGAATTTTGAGTTCTCCAATTTTTTAATCAATTTTATTTGCATAATGAATTTGTGGATAAATTATAAATGGGAGATTTTTGGTTTTATTTATTCTTACTATTTAAAAAAAATATAGAATTTCCCCTTTTAAAGATTCTGAAGAATTTTAAAGTGGCCATCTTGAGTTTTTGGTAATAGTAAAACAAAAGAGGAATTATGTAATAGCTTTGGAATACTTCAAGTGATTTTCAAGATTTGTTACTTCCACAAGAAATCATTAGTTTCAAACATCTCAAGAATGCAATCTTTTGAATTAATAACTTTTAAACTAAAGTATTACATTATTCCAAAATTAGTAAAAAATGAAACACTGTGTGTGTGTATTTAATCCTAAAAGGAGATTCTGAATATTATATTCTTAGACATAGGTAGAATTGTGTTATATTGGAGATTATGGTCATTTTTGATATGGTTTAAGAATTCGAGGCATGTGTACCTGGGTTTGAATGCTCTCTCCTGGGTCTCTTGGATTAAGTTGTAAATTCTATAACCGTTTTCCTCTTCTGTAGAATGGGGATAATAATAGTACCTACTTCTCAGGGTTGTCGTGAGGGTTAGAAAATAGGTAATGACAGATATACCTGCACATTTTCAAATTGACATAGATTGCAAGCAGCCTAAGGGACCATTAATTGGGAAATGGTTGAATAAATTATGGTATAACTGCACAATGATGTACCGTGCAGTACTTTATGTACTGATACGGAAAACTCTCCAAGATAAATAAAGTGAAAAAACTCAGGCTCAGAAAAGTGGGTTGTTCCACCATTTGTGTCAAAAGAAGGTGGAGCACATATATACATATTTACTTGTATAGGTTTAAAATATCTCAGGAAAGATGCACAAGAAACTCATAGCATTAGTTGCTAGCGGGGAGGGTAACCCAGTATTGGAGAATAGGAGTAGGAAGGAGACTTAAACGCTTTTTGAATTTGAATAGTGTAAAAGTATTGGCTATTCAAGAAGTTACATTTAAGTAACAAAAATATCACGAAAGAAATCAGATTTCATATAAAAGTTAGATAATGCATGTAAAGGTATGTATTTATTTTATTTTATTTTTAAAATAAATGACAGCTACTGTTATCTATTATCTCAGGAAGGGAGTGTATAGGGAGATGGTTTCATAAGACATAGAAGAGGGGGAGACTAACCGCAGTAGTTTGCAAATCAGATATCAGGAACTTTGAATTTCTGGCCTTACTATGTCTTATTCTTATTTGGCTTTATCAGAATTATAAAGGAGGGAAGTTCAAAATATTGCTGTAAGTTCTTAAATTGTGTTCTTTCAACTGTATTGGGCCAAAAAAGAAAAAAAAGAAAAAAATGTGTGCAGTATTCTCAAATCAGATATCTCTTTAAACACAGATATAGTTATGGAATTTTGGAGCTGGAAGGGACTTTATAGATCATTCTTCTCATTTTAGAGATGGGGAAACTGAAGGTGCAAGAGATCATGTGACTGCTCAAGGTCACACCACTACTGAGTGGCAAAATCAAAATCTACACTGGGCATTCTCCTTTCCTGTCTGGTTTTCTTCCCACTGTGCCATTTGCATGTTAGGGCTGCAAAGAATAAAGAATATTTCAAGCTGGGTATAGTGGTGAGCACCTGTAGTCCCAGCTACTTGGGAGGTTAAAGTGGGAGGACTGCTTGAGCCCAGGAGTTCGAGGCCAGCCTGGGCAGTACAGCAAGACTCTGTTGTTTTAAAAAAAAAACAACAAACCTATAGATTAGAAAGATACAGTAAAAGGGTTGTATAAATTGTTTTTTAAAAAGAATAAAGACTATTTCCCATTTTTTCTCCTATACCTTTTATAGCCATTCATTCTACTATCCATCTGTTGAAGCTGGGCAGCCCCCCGCCACACAAAGAAGCCCGCCAACGCAGGAAAGAACTCCGGAAGAAGCTGCTGGCCGAGCAGGAGGAGCTGGAACGACAGATGAAGGAGCTCCAGGTGGCCAATGAAAACAAGCAGCAGGAGCTAGAGACCGTGAGAAAGGTGGGAGTGGGCGCCAGGCTGGGGGAGGACTCTTCATTCCACTCAGAAGCCATCACTGCCTTGCTTAGGGGCTTTGGTCCTTCCAAGACTAGTTTAATGCAGTTTTATGGAGATGTTTTTTTATGAACTGTGTTCTCAGGAAGTGAACTCAGACCATTGGGCGAGATACCTTGGTTTTCTCAGCCCTGAAAGTATGTGGGTCTCAGGGCAGCAAAAACATTTCATTGACTAGGAAGGCATATTTATAAAAATAATGAGCATGGTTAAGTTTTGTCAGAGGAAGATGCAAAATTTTATTCCCCTGAGGATGTCAAGGCCATTTTTGGTGACCTAGGCAAGGTCTGTTGCTTTTTTACTTTTACCTGTCTGCTCCCATCTTCACTCAGGAGTGCGTTGGAAGACCTTTACTGTAGAAATGTGGGTTTTACTTACTATTTGGAGTGAAAAATATAATCTGGGTCGGCTTCTCCTTTCGTCTCAAGGATAGGAGGTCAAGTACCATCGGCTGTGTAAGATAGTTGATGTTCACTGGGAAACTTTGCTCCTCGGTTATGTCACAGTTCTGGGGGTGGTAGTAAGTCCCCCAGTATGTGGGCATGGTCTTTATTTGGGACACCACTGGTCTGAGCCTGTCTGCCTTGAATCAGTAAGCACCTGCTAACCACAGGTCAAAGACCCTTTTGTGTTCTTCTGTGCAAAGCCTTTGCCCTGGGATGTGGGGATAGCTCATAGCCTAAGACCCCACATTCTTTTGTAACCATAGAAATGCCACACTGTGTGCTAAACTTGCTCTGAGTAGACTCAAAGATTTTAAAAAATACTTTTGTAGTCTTAGGAGCCATGTGGGCATACAATCTTAGAAACAGATGTTACTATGGCACATTTTCTAAAAGCAGCTCCTTAGTTCTTACTGCCCTTCCCCCATCACTCTTGCATCATGCCTCTTTCTGCTGCAATATGTTTGTTTTCTTTAAAAACTCTCTTGATAGGGTACGCTGAGCACCTGCAGTATGTGATTGCTGCTTCCTCCTTCCACTGTACATACATCAGAAGTGGGTGTTATGAGAGTGGTGGGGGGTGGGGAGGTGGCGCTTGGTGTCTTTTTTTATAATTTGTTAAAATTATAAAATAGCTCATGCCTGCAGAGGAGAGTGTGAAATATGTATATACAAATAATCCTACAGTGAATACCTGTGAAACTACTACCCACATTAAGCTAGAAGATTGCCAATACCTACATTTTAGAAACTTTTTTTTTTCCTTTAATTTTTTCAACTTTATAAATAGTGCTGGGCACAGTGACATGCCTGTAGTCCCAGCTACTCAGAAAACTGAGGCGGGCAGATTGCTTGAACCCAGGAATTTGAGACCACCCTGGGCAACATGAACCTTATCTCAAAAAAAAAAGAAATTTATAAATAGTAAAATGTATGATTTATATATAGTTTCATGAATTTTTACATGTGTCTTGATTCTCGTAACCACCACAGGCAGGATATAGAACAATTCTAATACCCCAAAGAATTCCGTCATGCTGCTCCTTTATGTTCAGACCTTCCCCTCATCCCTAACCTTTGATCTGTTATCTGTTCCTATATTTTTGTCTTTTCCAAATTGTCATGTAAATTGAATCATACAGCATATAAATTCTCAAGACTGGGTTCTTTCACTTAGCATCATGCATTTGACATTCATCCATCTGATGCCTAACTCTTTTAAACTCTGTCTCCCGGGAGCATATAGGGGCCCTGTTTTGTGAATTCAGGCATTAATGTGAATTCATGCCTGGTGTTGGCAAGATATAAACCTACCTAGACAGCTTTCCCACTGCCTAGGTTTACAGAATTATTTAAGCGACTGATTTGGGATTCTTGGATAAGTACTGAAAATTTTTTATAGATCTCTTAATAATTTTTTTTTCTTTTCAGTAAATACAATTTTCCAATTTTTCACTGAAGCATTCTCAGAAAAACATTGCTTAGATGAGTATTTTAATCACCTGGAATTAGGTTACGTGTCTGTTAGGTTCTTAAGACTTGACAGGCCTCATTTTAATCAGAAGGAATAAGAAATCATGGTAGTTTTATGCTGGGCACAGTGGCTTACGTCTGTAGTCCCAGCGCTTTGAGAGGCCAGGGCAGGAGGATCATTGGAGGCCCGGAGTTGAAGACCAGCCTGGGAAGAAGAAGCAAGACCTGTCTCTGCAAATAGTTTAAAAAATTAGCTGGGCATGATGGTGCACGCCTGTAGTCCTAGCTACTGGGGAGGCTGAGGCAGGAGGATTGCTTGAGCCCAGGAGTTTGAGGTTACGTTGAGCTATGGTCATGACACTGCACTCCAGCCTTCTCTCTAAAAGAATTTTTATGTATAAAAATATTTTTTTAAAAAGGCATTCCATGGAAAGATTTCCTCCCACCTCTTTCCCCCTCCTGACTAGTTTCTACCCCTTGTCCAAGGTAAGCAAATATGAACGTATATTCTTATTTTCCCATTTGTTTAAAAACAAAAAAGTACATACCAACCTTATTGTTCTTTGTCTAGTTTATTTTACTTAATGTATTTATGAGATCTTTCTATATCAGCATAAGGAGGGCTTTTTCATTCTTTTTTATGGCTGTATAATATCCTATTATATGGCTGTGTAATTACTTATTTAACCAGTCTCCTGTTGATGAACATTTGGGTTGTTTTAATCTTTTGTTTTAATGGACAGTGCTATAGAGAATTAAACCTGTGTCATTGTATTTGCATTCATACATGTTCTGATATCTCTGTAGAATAAATTCACGGAAGTGGGAATGTTGGGCCAGAGAGTACGTACATCTTTAGTTGTGAAATCCAGGCTGATGGAACAGCCACCATCTTGAATGTTACTGTTCACTCTGCCAGAAGAAAAAGTGTTCTGGGGTTTGGCGGTGAAGTGCTCCAGCTCAGAAATGTCACACTGCAGTTCTGTTTACAATATTTTTGCCAGAACTAGTCACATGTTTCTGACGAGAAGTCACCTGTCAAGCTTACTGGAATTCCTTTATGTGTGGTGAATCATTCTTCTTTTGCTGCTTTCAAGATTTTATTTTATTTTGGACTCTGTCTCCAAAAAAAAATTCTGTCTTTTTATCGAGATACCATTTGATAGGATATTGTCATTCCTTCCATTACTTCTTTAGCATGGTTTCCTTTAGTTATCTGAAAATACACCATTTTTAACAACTGCTTTGAAGTCTGTCTGCTAAATCCACTGTCTGGGCCTCTTCAAAGGCAGTTTCTATTGCCTGCTTTTTTTCCTTTGCATGTCTCATAATTTTTTGTTGAAAACTGGACATTTTAGATAATGTATGGTAGCAACTCTGGATACTGATTCTATCCTTCCTCATAGCTTTGGGCATATGCTGCTATTTTAGCAGGGCTGTTTTGAGTGTCTCTTTTCCTGCTCTCTTCGTTAAGCAGTCAGTCAACCTCCCTTGTTATCACACTGAGCTGTTAAAGTTCACTAATTTCAGCTGATTGCTCTATTGTTTTTCACAATGCCCTAGGGCAGTGGTCCCCAACCTTTTTTGGCACCAGGGACCAGTTTCATGGAAGTCAATTTTTTTCAGACTGGGTGAGGTGGGCGGGGGAGGTGGAGCTCAGACAGTGATGCCTGTAATGGGGAGCAGCTGTAAATACAGATGAAGCTTTGCCTTACCTCCTGCTGTGTGGCTTGGTTCCAAAGTTTCATGGAAGACATTTTTCCTCAGTTGGCAGTGGGGGTTAGGGGGTGTGGAGACTTTTCCTCAGTCGGGGGTTGGGGGTTGGGGATGTGGAGCTTAGGCAGTGATGCCGCCTGGTTCCAAACAGGCCACAAACCTGTACTGGGCCGCTGTGGCCCGGTCGTTGGGCACTACAGCCCTAGGGCCTGACTTGTCCCACAGTCTGATTAAATTCAGGCCCACATGTAGTGTTTAAGTCCTGTCTTTGAGACTTGTTCCTACTACCTAAGAGCTTGTCTTAGCCATCTCTTTCCCTGGTTCTCTGTCAAACTTTTGTCTGGTCTGTGGTTTAGTTTGTTGTTCTGTGGAGCTATCAGCCTTAATTCCTTACTACCAAAGTCTCCATTGTTTTTGAGAGTGCCCTTAGGCTTGTGCTTCATTATGCTTTCAAATAAAGTCAGTTCTTTCCGGGAGAGCTTCATGGCCTGGCTTTCTCCCTGGGCAGAACCTCTGTGCAATGTTCTGGAGCTAGGGGCGGAGGCAGTGGTCTCCTTCTCTTGGAGTGATACTCCTGCTTTATGAGCCCGTCACTAGGTGGAGGTGATGGCCTTTAGTCTTTGCCGCTTGCCTCTCCCTGTGTGGAGCTTCTGCCTCACAAGTGAGTTGAGACAAGGGTGATTGGGCCCAGTATTCTCAGCCTGTCATACCAGGGATAGAACTTCTGCCCTGTGAGTGAAGGGCTGGTGGAGGAAGGGAGCCCCAGACCTCTCAGCCACTCTTGACTGGAGTAGAGTTTCTACAACATGGAGCTGAGGAGGATGAAAAATACTGGTGACCTTCCTCCTCCCAGAAGACGTCATAGCCCTAGATGACTGAGGGGAGAGGGAGCCCTTGTTCTGGGTTCCATCTGCCCGGAGCAGAGCTTCCTTCTCACTGACGTTGTGGGGGAGGAGAAGGGAGCGCATTGTGCCTCAGATGCCACAGAGGCTCGTAGTTCTTACTGAGATTTAGTAGATTTTCTTAGATAAATATTCTCCATTTGCTGTATGCCATCAGGATAATTTCTAGAGACTTTAAATGGTTGTTTTTTATAATAATTTATACCGGTTATGATTTCACTGGGGAAAACGTCCATGGAGCTCCTCATGCCACCCTTCTGGAAGTTGAATTTTGATAAAAGTTTTAAGGAATAACGTGTACAATGACAAAACTGTATAGAAGGAGCTCAAGAAATAGCTCTCAAGCCTCATGAATGCAGTTGCAAGTGAATTTAAGGCAATGACTATACTAAAAACTTCCTATGCAAAATGTTGTTCAGGCTCATCAGTAGTCATTCATTTACTAATTTGTTTTGTATGTTGATTTGACAAATTGTTGGAAGGGAATTCCGATGGAGCTGAAAGTTTTTATACTATCTTTATTGAATGTTAAGAATGTTTGGCTTCACCCACATGTTTAAATGTGACTCTCTCTCTCTCTCTCTCTTTCTCTAATGTACTCTACTGTAACAATACTGTTTTTCTGTGGATGGTTTTTTGCTTGGGTAGAAACTGGAAGAAGCAGCATCTCGTGCAGCAGAAGAGGAAAAGAAACGCCTTCAGACACAAGTGGAACTGCAGGCCAGGTTCAGCACAGAGCTGGAGCGAGAGAAGCTTGTGAGTACTACGTGGCTAGGGAAAGCCACTGCAGTAGCTCACAGAGCCAGCCACGGATGGGGGAAGGGGGAAGGGCTGGTAGCTGCTGGACTGAGGCCATCTTATCAGCTTGGTTCTGCCACTGACTCGCAGTGGGCTATTGGGAAAGTTATGTGTTCGTTCATTCATTCATTATCTGTTTATTGAGCACCTTCTATGTACCAGGCACTGGGCCAAAAATATAAAGGTAAAAGACATAAACCTTCTTTTCAAGACCTCTAAGTAGAAATGTATGGAATGGGGTGATAAGTGCTTGGTTAGGGTAACTGTTTGTCCTGGTTTGCCTGAGACAGTCCCTGTCATCCTGGAATAATATTTAATAACTTCCCTTTTCATTCTCAAAAGAGTTCTGGTTATGAAAATAAATTGTGTTAGGGCCCAAGGGAAAACTTCCATTTTGCCCACTGAAGATTTGCTGGAAGATCAACTGACAAAAGGCATATTAATCACAGAAAAGGCATACAAATTTATTAATGCGTACAAAGGGAGAACCACAGTGATTACTCCCTGGCCCCTAGTGGGATTTAGAAGCTTATATACCATCTTGAGATTACAGAAAGAATCAGGACTTGGATCGTGACAAAAGAGGTTGTGGTTGGGGAGAGAAGAGGAGGCCTGGCTAGCAAAGGTGGTGGTGGTGTATAGATGAAATCTCACAGGCAGCAGCCCTTGGAGAGAGTAGATGGTAAATGTTTCTCTCAGGTCTTTAAAAGTGTCAGACTCTCAGTTAATCTTTCCTAGATCCGGATAAGGGAAGGCCTCAAAGAAAACCTGGCTGCATTAATGCAGATTTTCTCTACAGATGCAAATCTTGCCCACCCCCACCCCCAAAAGATAGCTACTTTTGTTGGCAACCCCTCTCAACAGCCATCTCAAAATATGTCAAGGAAGTTTATTTTGGAGTGAAATATTTTGATTTCCTTGAATGGCTATGGAAAAATTAAGCATTGGTTCCAAAACGTTTCTCCTCTATAATGAGCCAAGTTTTGGGGTGGGTTGGTGTTCTGAAGTCATAAGAACATCTGGATTCTGGTTTTCTGCTCTTGGCAGCTCTGATTCATCTTAGAGGCTCCCATCCCCACGAGACCCAAGGTCCAGGTTGCTTTAGGTAATTAGCTGATTAATTGGAACACAGATCTTCTCACCTTGAGTGATACTGCGTGGGAGAGTACCCAGTGCTGAACCCAGTGCTTAAATATAAGTGTGTGACATTTCCTTTAGTCACTTTTTATTGCTTAGAGTTGAAAGAGACATGTTTGTGTTATGACAGACAAGCGCCTGGAGGAAGGCAGATGTGATGTAAAGAAGCAGTGCTACCCTCACAGCCAGAAGGTCTGGCCTGTTTCCTCTCTGCTCCTTCTTCCTGAGCATTGTCTTTCTCTTCTTTAAATGCTGGATGATCTCTTGTGACTCTTATGAGTACGAAATGAGCTAATGCAAGTGAAAATATTTTATAAACTGCAGAGACATAGGCTTATGTGTATGATATTATATTTAGGATGGCCTTCTCTTTTGATTTTTGAGACAGGGATTCAAAACTCTTTAACCCAGAAGGGGAAAAAAAACCTATAACTTGTTAAGACACTAATTGCTTACTAGTTAATTGCTTGAGTTCCTTCAGGGCTGGGGGTGCCCTAGGGAGGGACAACAGGAGAGATGGAGGCAGCCAGGTAAGTGCAGGAGACCTGTAGGCTAATCTTTACTTTCCCCTTTAACACTCCGACTGGGAAAAGGTTCATTGCTTTTGGAGAAGACTCTGTTGGTAGAGAGGTTATGGCTTTAATATAAAAAGGAATTTAAAGAGTAATTATACAGGGAAACGTTTTTTTTCCTTGACTTGATTCTTAAAATAAGAAGTGGAAGGGATAGAAAATATACCAGGGCAGGAACACAGCATTGTGGGTTGCAGTTTGTTTTTCCCAGACTGTTTTACTGTTAGTATTGGGTGTGGTGCTTCTGACTCCTCCATCTTTGGTTTACAGATTGAAGGACAGGGCCCCACCATCCTGATGGGCTGTGCTGTGGCTATGGGCAACCCCTCCAAATGGAAGGGGAGGGGGAGGGGAGGGTTTCCCTGAGGAAGAAGTCTACCTGCGTTTAAACGTGACCCTCATGTTTATACCATCAGATCAGACAGCAGATGGAAGAACAGGTTGCCCAAAAGTCCTCTGAACTGGAACAGTATTTGCAGCGAGTACGGGAGCTTGAAGACATGTACCTAAAGCTGCAGGAGGCTCTTGAGGACGAGAGACAGGCCCGGCAAGATGAAGAGGTGGTGCGGAAGCTTCAGGCCAGGTGCAAGATGGGTTTGCAGCCTTTGCCTTTATGTACTTTGCTTGGGCTAATACGATTTCTCAGAATGACTAACAAATAGTGGAGAGGGAGGGGTATCTCAGCCCTGGCTGACTGCATTTGAGATGTTGTCCAGATTCGGCAGACCTTGGGGACTTGGCTGGCTGGGTATTTCTTCTCATTCTGGGGCACTGGGAAACCCTTGCTCTGGGCCTAAAGAAGGGCCTTATATCTATTTTAGAATAGTTTGGTGGTATGTTGGAAGGGGTACCCTTAATCATATTCTAGAATGTCCACAGACCTAGGATCAGCTCTGGTGAAGAACTTGGCATCTTTAACATGTTTCAGACCAGGGAAGGCCCTAGGTGTGGAGGCAGGGGCATGCTCAGGCCAGAGTTGCAGCCAGATTTTGGGGGTAAGGAGGAAATATGCTGTTTGGTTATTCAGGACTGGTGACATTCCTTCAGTAATTACTACTTGAAATCCTAGTTTTAAAAGTTATTTTGAAATCTAGATTTTTTTTTTTTCTTTAGAGGTTTTAAAGTTAGATTTACTACTTATGATAGTCATGTTCTCAGATGAGAACTCTCAATTTTGGGCCTTCATGGCAGCAGGAGGACAAAATAAAATGAAGACCCCCAAAGGGCAAATTTGAGCTATTCTCTTCCAGCTTCTACCTTGCTGTCCTATTTGCGTTCTTTAAAATGGGAGGGAGGCACTAAAACATAGTAACTGTAATAGCACCTGGTCAGTGCAGATATACCCAGACTTTGAGCTGTGACCCCCTGTTTTTGGGAGCAGTTATGAGATGAGCTGGGATAGATTTTCCATGGCTGCTATTTTACATGTAGAATAGCAAAAGATGTTTGTTTAATCTTTAGGTAGGAAGAGAGGAAAAAAAAAGAGTCTTTTTTAGTTGTATTACTTTGCCAAAAGCGATTTCAAAAATAATTTGGTTTTTAAAATTTAGATTTTATTAAGGAAAAAATTATTTTCTAAACAGAAAATCAAGTGCTTAGCGTATTGCCTGGCATGTACAGGTCCCACGGGTATGTTTACTGTACTGTGGTATTAACCAGGTTCACGGAACTATTATACCTTCCAGTACCATTGGGCATTGATGTTAGCAGAAGATCCACTGCATGGGAAGGTTTGAGTCCCATGTGACTTCCAAAGAGTGGCATTCTATGCGATACTACTTATTTTTTGAGCCACTTGATAATTCGTGCTATATTAGGAGTTTGTATATTGTCCTTTTGTAAAGAATTCACAGGTAAGATATGCTATATATATTACTCAGTTTCGAGGGAATTTGATTATGACACAGCAGAGGTTGGATCACAGAGGGAACCAGATAACTCTAGAAATTTACTGAAATATCAGTTATTTAGTGTTTATAGAATGAGTGATGTTTTGCATAAGGAACAATTTTGGATAATTGAAGCCAGTAGTTTTTTTTCTTTCTTTTTTTTTTTTTTATTTCAGCATATTATGGGGGTACAGATGTTTAGGTTACATACATTGCCCTTGCCCCTCCCTCCCCCCCAAGTCCGAGTTTCAAATATGTCCATCCTTCAGGTGGTGTGCATTGCACTCTTTGTGTATGCATATACCCGTCCCCTCCTCCCCCGCCCCTGCCCAACATCTAATAGATGTTATTCTTATATATGCACTTATGTGTTGATCAGTTAATACCAATTTGATGGTGAGTACATGTGGTGCTTGTTGAAGCCCGTAGTTTTTAACCAGTGATATATATCAGAATCACCTTACAAAGCTTTTTAAAAATTACCAAATCAAAACATCTGTGAATAGGAGGTAGACATGAATATTGTTATTTTAAAAGCTCCGGCTAATTATTTTGTACACTCGGATTAAGCAAATAGTAATACTGTTTCAACCTTTTGAATGCAAATATAACTACTATATACAGCTCCGCTCCAGTAGCTGAAAGTACTGCACAAAAGTTTAAATTTTTCTTGGTGTGCAAATGCCCTTTTATGAACACAACTATTTTAAAGTGGACCCCCTCTAGTGGTCATTTTTAAGTGAGGTGGGTTCCTCTCTTTCCCAAAGTCACTGATAGCTGAGCCTGATTCATGGAGGTGTTCTTTCAGATTGGCAAAAGGGGCTTGCACTTTGCTCCTCAGGATAGGCCTTTCTGGGTAGGAAAAAACAAGGGAAGTCATCATGGACTTGGGTTAGAAACACTGGCACTAATGAAATGAAACAATCTTAGGCCAAGGGTCTGGATAAAGGGCTTTTAGTTAACTCTTCTCTGTCCTTTCTTAAAGCAGTAACAAGTCATTCTTAGAATATTTGGCATCTCATTATTCTTTTAATGGATGGTTCATTCTCTGTCATTGTTTTAAGTTTCCCCAGAGATAATTTTTATAGTAAATTGTTTAAATACAAGAACTTTGACTTGAGCCATCTGGGTCTTGTGATTTTTTTTTCATTAAAATTGAAGTTAATTTTTGATGTGCAATCCTAAAAGTTATCTAGCCTCTTCTGATAGGAACTCAGAAGAAAACTGTTCATTTAAAATTTGCAAGTTATTGGAAAGTTCTTGAGGCTGAGCCATAATCTGTCCCATTATAACTTTCACCCACATTGGATCTGTAAGGCCCAGAAGCATTCCTTAGTCATGTCTGTATTTCCAGCAACTAGTGTGGTGCCTGGTACACAGTAAGTGCCCAAGGAATATTTTCTGAACGACTGCATGAATCCAAGTTCTACTCATTGGGGCCACATGGAACAACAGTCTCTCTTTCAGGTGATACAATACTTTTCATGCATTTGAAGGCAGTTGGGACTAGGCTCTGGAGTGAGGTTTGATTCCCAGCTCTGGTACTTCCAGCTGTGTAACTTTAGAGAAGTTATTTCACACTTTGAGCCTTCAGTTCCTTATCTGTAAAATAAGGATAATTGCCAACCTTGTAGGGTTGTTGTGAAGATGAAATGAGATAATGCATGCCAAGTGGTCAGCATAATGTCTGACATTTGTAGTCACTGAGAGCATTTTGCTTTCTGTTCCTTTATCTTATTTGTACATGGGGAAGATATATTAATATAATGTGTAGAATGTAAAAAATAAGCATTCAAAAAAGATATTGACAGGCTGGAATGATGGTTTTAAACCAAGAAGATAATTTAAAATATCAGCAGAACAAGTACAGGATCTAGGAGACTTGGCTTAATATTAAGCAATTCTTTTGAAAAGATTTAGGGTTTCACTTCTGTGATGTGGTTGCCAAAAACCTCATATAGTCTTAGGCAGCCTTAATGAATTTGAAGTGTCCGGAACAAATGAGGTAATAGTCCCACTGTAATAGTATGAGCTATTATTTATTCATGCACCTGTTAGGGACCAGGCTGTAGAGCTCCCCCATCCCCTTGCCCTCCATGGAAAAATTGTTTTCCACGAAACCAGTCCTTGGTGCCAAAACGGTTGGGGATCGCTGATTTACTTGGCACTTACTAGGTGGTAGGCATATAAATACCTTACATTCATTATCACCTTTAATCCATCAATAAACCTTTGATGGCTGGTATAAAGCTGAGGCACAGATAGGCACTAAAAGTCTTTGGTCAGAGTCCAGTGGATGCCATTGATGCCAGTGTTGGTACTGGGCATCAGCATTGACCGTGGGAGCTCTCGACTGAATGTTGCTGCCACCAGCAAGATAAATTCTCACTGGCTCTGCTTCTTTGCTTCAGAGTCAAAGTTCCAGGAGGGGCTTCTGCTCAGGCCTCCACTGTGTTCCGGCTGCCAGTGGGTGGTAGGGCAGGTGTCTGGCATGTGGATTCTGTAGCGGGAGATGGGCCTTGCCTTCCATGAAGACTCCTACTGTGACAGATTCTCTAGACACATGAAGGGGGTTCAGAGGCTGGGCAACCTAAGCATCTGCAAATGTCCATTCCCCTTCCATACTTTTACCACTAGAAGGAAAAAAAACAGGGGCCCATCCAGTCTTGTTCATGGTTGTATCCCCAATGCCTAGAAAAGCACATGGAAGGCACATAATACATTTTGAATGAGTGAATAAACTCTTCACTGGTCAGACATTTACAGTGATGTGTTCAGTTGTGGACATCAAACTCCAAGAGACATCTAAGGAGCTGGAGTGTGTCTTAAGAAGGATATTGAGTCTGGAAGCTGGGTCCCCATGTTTAAGGCTTCATCTGTAATGTAGGGATAACACCTTGCAGGATTATTAAGGGGCTAGCAATAATGAAGATAAAGTGCCAGACATGTAGTAATTGTTCAATAAATAGTATCTGTTATTATCCTGCCTTATATTAGCTCCTTCTCCCTGCATCTTCATTGATTATCAGCTTTTCCCCTGGTAATAGGTTTTTAATAAATGAAAAATGTTTCGATGTTGTAGCAACCAGGCAAATTTCAAAACTTGGCTGTACCACCTGGCAGGTGGGCGACCTAGTATAGGTCACTTAACCTTTGTGCCTCACTTGCTTCATCTCTAAGATATGAATAATAGTACCTAAGTTCACCATGAAGATTAATTGAGAAAATACACTTGAGTCTTAGCTCAGTTCCTGGCACATATTAAGCTATAGCACAAATGTTATTTTGTTTTTTCTTTTCAAAAAAGGGTGAAACCAAGAGAGCTTGGAGCAGGGCACATGGACCATTTTACCCGCTTTATGAATATGAATTTCTCTGGCTCCTAGTTTCCTCCTTGTAAAATGAGAGAGAGGCATGAAATGACTTCAGATATTCTCTTGTCTAAAATGCCTCCCTCACCTGCTGGGTCACAGTGGTGACCTGGGCAGGATCTGATCCTGAGATCTTCTTCCCATTGTAGGTTGTTGGAGGAAGAGTCTTCGAAGAGGGCTGAACTGGAAAAATGGCACTTGGAGCAGCAGCAGGCCATCCAGACAACTGAAGCGGAGAAGCAGGAGCTGGAGAATCAGCGTGTCCTGAAGGAACGTGCCCTTCAGGAGGCCATGGAGCAGCTGGAGCAGCTTGAGTTAGAGCGGAAACAAGCGCTTGAGCAGTACGAGGTAATCACACTGGGCCATGCAAGTTTGCATGTGTATTTAAAACAAAACTTGTGTATTTAAAACAAAATAAAAAAAACAAAACATTTTTCAGTAATAGGATATTTGCTTGGCTGTCAGTATGAAGCTATAGTAAGAATTTTGCTTAGCTATAAGAAGAAAGAGAGGAAGTTTTTATGGGCGATAAGTGTATCAGTCAGAGTCCAGTCAGGAGACAAATCACACAATAATTTGAATGGGGAAGGTTTAATATAAAAAAATTAATGTTACAGCTCTTTTAGAATTTATTTAGCAAGTTTTCCAGTCCTCACCAGAAGACTCCCTTCCTCCTCCCCACCAAAAAAAATTGTTAACCATAACAGGGGATTACCTACTAAGCTGTAAAGAAGACTTGAAAAACGCAGGAATGGCAGATGTAGGACCCAGCCACTGCCTCTAGGACTGAGGGAGAGATCCAGGGAAGGAACAAACTGCAAGAGGGTCCCTTGCCCTTTAAACCCCAATGCTGTGAGCTAGACCTCTTTGGAGGGAGCCCACACATGGCAGAGAAGTTTGCCGAGGTGCTGTGCCAGCAGAGCTCATTGGGAAGCTGCCCTCTGGGAGGTGCCATGAAAACTCACTGTGGATGAGCACGGTGGGTGTCCTGAGTGTCACTGAAGCTCGCCAAGTGGAATCTGGAAGAAAAGCCCCTTGTCTGCTTGTACCTTCAGCACCTTCTACTTACAAAGCTTACAGCTACTGCCACCTAGTGAGAGAGAATGATTCTGATATCACCAGCAGCCCAGTGAAGGGTGGATTTGGAGTGGAGCGGCAAGTAAACTGTAACTGGCACACAGGATCGTATGCATTCATCTGTAATTAGTGTGCGTATGGTCTGGGTTCCAATCCTGGCTCTACTGTTTCCTCCCTGTGTGACATTTCCACTCTGTACAATGGGAGTTAATAATAGTTCCTGCTTCTCTAAGTGGCCGTGAGGATTTAATGAGATAATCTACAAGCATACAGTAAGGGCCCAATCATTGTTATTTGGTTCTTAAACTACTTGTGTGTCTGCATAGTCCAAAATCCAATTTTTGTTCCAGGGAGTTAAAAAGAAGCTGGAGATGGCAACTAATAAGACCAAGAGCTGGAAGGACAAAGTGACCCATCATGAAGGATTAATTCGACTGATAGAACCAGGTAACAGACTCTATGAAGTAATCATATATTTATTTTTAAATTTTTTTTTGTTTTATTTGTATATTTGAATTATACTGAAAAAAAATAACCTTTTTAGTCCAAATGTTTAAAAACCAAGTTGTTAGCATAAATTTCTCTTGAATAACTTGTCCTCTAATAAGTAGGAGGGCCCCAGTTAATCCCCTCTGTATACATCTGGTTGTTCTAGCTGATATGACATTTATGGATATTCCTCAGAAAAGAAATAAAAAAGAAACATTTCTGTTTTTTCTGTGGAGAAATCATAATGTATGTAGAAGTACTTCCTATATTTAAAGCATGTTTGTGTCCTAGGTTCAAAGAACCCTCACCTGATCACTAACTGGGGACCTGCAGCTTTCACCCAGGCAGAACTTGAAGAGAGAGAGAAGAACTGGAAAGAGAAGAAGACCACAGGGTGACTGCCTGTGACGAAGTCACATCAGTTGTGTAGATACTGCATGGCAGGAGAGCTTTATGCTAAAGACAAAAATGGGCTTTGCTGCTTTTAACTCTTCTTCCTTCAGTGCCTCTAATTGGGTCAGTATCCTAAGGAAGCCTTCCTATTTATCTTCCTGAAAAGAGAGAGAAAAGGCAATATTGTCAGGCTCTTTACTTTCTTTGAACCTTGCTTCAGCTTCTGAAAATTACCTTTTAGTTCTCTCAGATTCTTCTCCGAATGAGGCAGTGCGCAGACAGCACAGTCAACTCCATCATCTGCAGCACTGGAGGGGTGTGGGGCATAGGTGCTCAGTATCGTTGGACAATCAGAACCTCTTTGGACTGGGTGTCAGCTTTTTCCTTTGGCAGAATGTTTCCTTCTCCAAGTATGTGTTTTTAAACTAGATTGGCCAGTCTGCTTGCCATTCCATTCCAGTTGACATGAAACGCCTTTGACCACTGGTGCTCTGATAGAGCAGTCACGGAGCCACTGCCTTTCCTGGTTGCCCTTCTGCAATGTGATCTGGACAGTGGAGGTTTTCTAGCTTCTCCTAAGATACTTCTTCCCTGGCTTGTATCGTTCCCATCTCCTTTCCCCTCACCTCAAAGGAAAACATCCCTTCGCTCATTACTCTCAACCTACTTTTCTCTCTCGTTCTCTCTTGTACTCTCTCTCTAGCAAATGATGTGCTACCAAGTATATGCCAGGCTGTGAGAGGATTATGTTAAGGAGTAGAAAAGCTAATTTGAAATAAAAATTATTTGGATAATTTATAAAGCAGATTATATATGGACAATGGGAGGTTGACCGTATGTCTGCTAGATTCAAAACGTCATGAAGATCATGGTGTGTCATTACTGAGCCATGATATTAACCTTTGTTAGGTGGGCAGCTTTTCTGCCTTTTCCCTCCCTCCATGGGTGACAGTAGAGGAACTATCCAATAAAAATAAATGTAACAGGGAAATTGGGATCATAGTTTCTATGCATCTGATTTGAAAGGAGTATTGAGGAAGGTTTTCATATATAATTTATCTTTGGATTGAGAATATTATTCATGAGATCAAGCCTTCCAACACAACTTATAATTTATAAGCAGCAGTAGTAACTCCATGGATAGCAGTAATGCTTAAAATTATAAATAAATTTGGGGATAGTTCAATTATTGCTAAAAAAATAAAGGCAGAATTCAGTGGAATAATTAAAGCCTTCTCTCTCTACAAGTATCAAATGAGGACAGAGAATCCCACGTATCCTTACGCTGGTGCTTGCATAAAAGTAGAAAGGAAGCTATTCCAAAAAGATGTACACATCTAGAGAATATGGTTTTAGAGATTTCAATGTATGTATTTATTTACATGAGAGGAAACTGGATTATAATCCCATAAATTACCACCTTTTATGACTGGAAAATATTTGCCAATGAAATGATATTTAGAAATTTATCGTAAGGTTTTTAGCTGTTTAATAAAAATGTAACTTTATTTAATGATTTCTTATAGTTGCTGTTACAAAGTTTAGATTATTATCTAAAATATCTTTGTATCATGTGCCTTCAAAATTCAACAGCTAATTTGGGTGCTGGTTTCTGCTCAGCTCCTTGTCAGTATCATCATTTTATGTAGTAGCTGGGAGGTATATCAGATCAAGACCTAGATGAGAAATGGAACCTTTCCTGTGGTTTGATTACACATCACACCAGGGGACTCCAGTATCCCCGATTCCAAAATAAGAAAAAGATACTTTACAAAGAAGCTGATGACCTATGTGAAATCTATAGGGTGGAAACAGTATGGGCTTGGGAGTCTTAACAGCCTGTGCATGGTGGGGAGGAATAATGTGAATTTCTACTTTTGGGAAGTGGTGAAATAGGCCTTGTACCTCTGCAGAATGTCCTTCCTTAAACCTGGTTTGTGCCACAGCTGCCGCTGAAAACATGACCTGGGGCTTACAGGCTCCTATGGACCTCACTGTCTGGCTCTGGGGTGTCGGCCTGAGGACTGCCTGCTTTCTGGTCTCATGTGGACTTTCACTTGACCAAGCAGTTCTGTGTGGTTGTGCAGAAGCTTTCCATTTAATGCATTGTGTTACTGGTTTACATCTTGGCTTTGATGGCACTATCTCCAGGAGGCAAAAATCCTTTAAAAAAGTGCTTTGGCAAAGATAGATATTAACAAATCAAAGCACAGAAATGAACTGAGTAAATCCCATTTGGAATGATATTTTCATACTAACTGAATTCTTCTTAATATTTAACATGGTGTCAACTGTCAAAGTGCTAATAGAACCCATGGTGGTTTTACTTTTGTAATTACTGTACAGAAAATCTCAGAAGTGTTTGAGTGCTTGTCATCATCAGGCCTTTTCCTTAGTAAATAGGGAGGGATATGATCATTTATAGGAATTATGCATGAAAAAGTTTTAAAAATGTATTTTTGTGATATGCTGAGAGGAAACCAAATATTTATAATCTTCAAATATTCTTATTGAAACATTGTACAATGTAATATGCTCAACTTTAATTTTTTGCTAATTTTTCTAAGATATATTAAAAATGTTTTGTATGTTTTTTTTTTAGTAAAATGGACCCAGTAAGAAAATTAAAATACCAGAACAACATACATTTTAAACTGATTTAATAAAACAGTGGGGTAAAGTTGTGTGTATGTATGTTTACTTTCATATAATGAGATAGACTTTAGGGACACTTCCTAAAAACACTGGGGTTGGTGTTTAGACCCCAAGAAGTTGGCTATGGCCTTATGTTTGGTGTTTGAGTCACTAATGTGGGCAAACCATGGCTGATGTGTCAGCTCTCAAACGGGAACTTACAAAGATGATTTCTCCTTCATTGTTGCTATTACCTCCAAATCCTCTTACCTCTGTTTTCCTGTATTTTCTTTTTATGCCTTTCAGTTTTTCTTTTACCAGAGTAAACAGTATGGTTTTTACGTTTTGGTTTATGTGGCTACCAAGATAAAACTCCTATTGTGGACTAAGCGGGCCCACTCAAGCCAGCTTGATTGTGCATTGGAACGCTGATCTTTCCCTTTTAGAGGGAGGGTGGGTGAGAGAGAACACTAGTTGGTGTTTTTTTAAAACTGTTCCTTCTCTATTGCAGTGGTTCTTAACTGATGGCGATTTTGCCCTCCACCAGGGGGCATTTGGCAATGTTTGGAGACATTTTCGGTTATTACAACTGGAAAGAGCATTACTGGCATCAAGTGGGTAGAGGCCAGGGATGCTGTAATACATCCTACAATGCACAGGGCAGCCCCCCAGGAATAGAGAATTATCTGGACTAAAATGTCAACAGTGTCGAGGTTGAGAAAACCTGCTCTACAGAAAGGCAAGTTCCATTATGCAGAACACAAAAGGCTCAGGGGTTCCCTTTCTTTCAGAAGTCTCAGCAATTGACTGACCTTTTTGGTGTAAATGAGGTACACCTGGAAGGGAGAGTGCAGAGGGCAGGAGCTTTGGCACACCCAATGTAGGGCCTTGTGCTTCAGAAACTCTGTAAAGGCCTTTCTACATAGATCCGAAGGAAATTGCTTTGAATATGTTTTATAGTCTTCTGTGCAGGTTGCTGAGGCACGATGTGGAAAAGCTGCCTTGACACCCATTTCTTCCGATGGATGGTGAAACACAGGGTGGGCCTGTCAGTACCATTCGGCAGCTGGTGAGGAATGAATTTCCAGATTTACAGCCCAGGTGGTGATGTGTCCCATACAGCACTGGTGCTTTTTCTATCTGGCAAAACCTTAATTGCACCTTTAGGGTAGTGCCAGCACGGCACAGCTGCCCGAGCGGGGGGAGGATCAGGTGAGGTCAGGCCACGTGGAATTGTGGAAGAGATGCCCCACAACCTTTACTAGCGCAGAGCCAGTGCTCAAAATTTATTGAAAAAAATCATTCTTGGGAATAGTTTTATGGAATATCTATTTCTTTTCTTTCTTTCCCCCCTACTCCCATCTTTATTTATGTATTCAATTTGAGATTGAATGAGGCTTAAGTCCAGCAAGACTTACATAAGAAGGTTCACAGCAGCTTTGAATGCCCCAAACTAGAAACAACCCAAATATCCATCAGTAGAGAATAGAAAAATGATTTGTGATATATTCAGACAAAGGATACTACACTTAAGTGAAAATGAACATATTACTGTGAGAATATGAGAATATAACTTGGGTGAATCTCAGACATTATATTGAACAAAGAAGCCATACACAAAAGAGCACACACTATATGATTCCATTTATATTAATTTCCAGAATACACAATGCTATTCTGTGGATTTAGAAGTGAGAATGGGGGTTACCTAGGGTGGGAGGCAGTGGTTGATTGAGAAGGAACATAATTGAGCCTTCTGGGGTGCTAGAAATGAGTGGTGGTTGCCTATGTAGAAATCTGTCAACTTTACACTCAAGATTTGTGCTGTTCACTGTCTGTAACTGCACTGCCTCTTGAATGCTTGAACTGGCTAGTCTCTAGAGATCAGCTGGTCCAAACCAGTCACTTTGCAGAGAAGGAACTAGAAAAGGACACGCCAAATCCATACTGGAATTCCTGACCCTCTTCTAGGATGCTATTCATTACACCATCTGCCTCCTCTCCGGTCCTTTCGTTACATTTTGGTGTCAAAACATTTTATTTCTTAGTGTGTTTCTATCTCCCATCACCCAGCTAGTCACCATGAGTCACCCCTACATGCAGGGCACGGACCCTTTCTAGTCCTGTGCTCAGCTTCCACTGACCCTTCTGAGGCTGCTGAGTTTTGGCCCTGGGTAGTGGGTACATTTGTGGTGGACACTAAATTCCAAGCAGGGTTGGACTCAGCCTCCTTTTCCTGTTCCCACCACACAGACGCAGTCCATGTCTCCTAGGGTTGTGCACCCACAGGAATGCGGGCCTTCCTCTGTTTACATCTACCTCCACAGCAGTCCACAGGGGCCAGCTGAGGGCCAGTGGGACTTTAGGAGTGGGCAGAGGAAAGCTTTGTCTAGTAACCCGCATTCTGTTCAGTCCCCAAGCCACACAGCCTGCCCCCTCGTCCCTACCCGAAGTCCTCCTTTCCTGTCCCATTTGACGCCACCTCTCCCCCTTTCTGCTTGGACCAGCAGCCCATGCAGGTGTCAGAGAGCAACCTTTCTGAGCCCCACTTTCTACATTTTTCCCTTTGTGGCTGTCAGGCCCATCCTGGGCAGCTCCCCCAGGAAGACTGTCTGCCCACAGGCTGGTTTTGGGGGATGCCAGGACTGCTGCCACCCTTGCACTCATTGGTCTTCCGCTTTCCTTGAAGTCCAGGCTGATGAGAGAGCAGCATTGCTGTCTGACAATGCCGGACTGGGCTCTCTCTGTCCCATTTGGGAAGGCATTTGTAGTCTGAAATACTTAATTAAAAAGAACACACAGGCTATCCAAAAAAGGTAGAGAGGTGGACGATTTCATCCCAGAGTCCCAAAGCCCTGTATTCCTCACTGCAATTAGCTGGAAGATGGCTAAAGGACACAGTGGCTTCTTCCTAGAGAGGCTGCCCTCCCAGCCTGGGCTTACCAGTGGTTAGCACTCGAACCTCCCTCCCTGACCCCCAAATCCAGCCTTTAGAGCACTAAGTTGGAAAGGAGCCTGTACTTTAGAGTCAGACGGACCTTGCCTCTAGTTTGGTTTCACCTTACTGTGTCACCCTGAGTGGGTTAGGAATACTGCATGGGCGATGGGTCCTCAGGGTGTCACACCTGGAGGCACATGGTGGCAACCTGTCATGCATAACCTGCTCAGGTCTCTCCACATTACAGAGACACTACCCCTGTCCCAGGGTTTTGTCTTGGTGCATGCTCTTCAGAAAGTCACATGCAGAGGGGCTTTCCACCTGGGCTGGGCCAGGCCACTTAACAGGCGTGTTGCTGGTAGACTGGCAAATTCTAAGAAAACCCACCAGGTGAATGTGGTAGGTCATGCAAGTCT